GTGTGTGTCTGTCTGTCTGTATGTGTCTGTGTGTGTACGTGTTCGTCGGTGTGAATGTGCCTCTGGTGTCCAGAGTGCACAGGGGTCATTCTGCACATCGTCCCAGTTATAACAGTGCTTTTTTCGAAAAAAAAGCAGGTTGCTGACAACGAGCGAGATCCCTTCGCTTTACTGCAGCAGAGTTGGGCCATCTCCCAATAGAGAACTGTCATGGCAGACAGAGGGACAAGGCGATAACAAATAAGGGCACAGCCCTTCGTTTGGTGTCATCTTTTCCCTCTCTCGGCCTACGGTTTACCGGGCCGTTCTGGTTGACTACCGAAATAAAAGTAACGACCAGGTGCGAAGCGAACAAAACTCTCTTTTTGACAAACAAAGCCTATTAAAGCTGAGGCTGGATCAAATTTCAATTGATTTTTTGCATAGAAAAAATATTGCATAACAAAATAATCTATTGCGTGCTTTATCAACTTTACGCGAGCAACGCAGGCTTTTAGAGTCTGGACAAAGAAGAAAAAAGTACAAAGGCAAATTTTGGTAATCGTACACCTACTTCAGACTTTCAGCCATATCTGTACGGATTACGAAATGAAATCGCTATTATTGATTTAGAACCTACAACATTCAGATTATGAGCCTGACGAGTCTGCATCCCACGAAGGCGCGAAAGCGCGTAAGAATTTGACTGTCTTTGCGGATACCGCTATACATCTTTCTATGCTGATACCCATCTTTTTGATGTTTACTAGCTTTTTGTTGTTAACTTTGATTTTTCTTCTGATAGAAACACAGCAGTTTATCCTATCTTTTTATAAATGGAATGGTAGCAGCTTGGCTCCTTTGTGGTAAAAAATCTCTAAACACACGCAGCCAGGCACGATTTTAAAGGCGCGAAGCACTGCAAAAAGGTCAAAGCAACCTACGAGGACGTAGCATGTACAATTTTTGGAAAAACTTGTCACAGTGATCTCTTTTCATAACTACCCTGTCAAAATACACAAAAATTTGTACGGTTCGGAGAGGACTCGAGTAATCACCAAGGGTATATATATATAAATAATATATATATATATATATATATATATAAACAGATCTTCCGACAGGCAACCACTGTTCGTGCTGTCTCACGTGGGCCTCCTGGAGGTATTGCTGGCATATTACACGTGTGTCCCTTTTTACCTTGGGAAAATAATTCTTTTGGGTGAGCTCCACTACACAGTACACACCTATCGCAGATTCCGGTGCTTCGTTTTCTTTCCTTTTTTTTTTTTGTTTCTTTGGCTAGGGCCTCACCGCACTCTGCTGCAGTGCAATACAGAGGCGACGCTGGAGGGGTCGAGCAAGCAAGCTTACCCACCTGACCCCTCCATAACCCAGAATTTAATATGGTTATGGCCCGATGGACCACGGATCAGATATTAACCCACTAGTACTCGGCCCCAGCCTTGCAGAAAGTTTTTGCAGAAAGTTTTTGTGGCTACAAGCAAAACTCAGAGGCGGCGTGCGGCCAGGCCCGCCGATTAAAAAAAAAACCGGCGGCCTCCGAAGTGGTGTGTGTTTCATGCTGACACCCGCGGGCCGATATGTGGTGTTACAGTACTGGGGATCGTTCGACACTCATCGGGCGCGTAAAATCCCCGAAGAAATCATCGTTCCACTTAATCTTGGGGAAGAAAACGAAAAAAAAATGTGAAAACATTTCCTCGGGGATTCCTCGGGGATTCCTCGGGCTACAGCCATTTCGAGGCGTTCCCCAAGGGACCTCCCGAGGTCCCTTGGAGGTCGAGCATCCGAAAGAATCGGGGCGTCGATGGCAGCTCCCTCGATGACAATTTTCGACGCAGCTGGTCCATTGCTGTTCCTGGCGGCCTGTGGACGGACAACTCCGGTTCGCAATGGCTCCCGTCGTGGAATAGTCCGCCAATGGTCCCCTTGGGCCGCCTGCCGTCCTCCGTGCCGTCGAGAAGGGGCTGCCTTGCGTCGCTGCCCTTCGGCACCCGTGGGAAAGCGCCCAACGGTCGGCACATTCGAATACTTCAGCCGGCCCCTGCTCTCCCGATTGCGCACTGTCTTCCGCAACGGAAAACGTTACGCTGGTTTTGTATGTAGCTGCGATCGGCCGTTTGCGGCACTTACCCTCGCCGTTTCCTGGACGTCCACCGTTGTGTTCTAGCTGTTGCCGTCGTCGAACTGCGTTTCATGGCCGACGTCTTTCAGAGGCTGCCGCTGCTGGTGCTCATCGTCCTCCTGCTCCTGCTGTTAGTTCTCTTCCACGTGTATTTCGTGGGCATCAGTCCGCGACGTGGCCGCAAAAGACGGTGTTCGAAGAAGGACGTCAGTATGGAGGGGCGATAGGTGATGTGCAGGTCTGCAGGGGATCAGGGCAGTGGCCAGCGCGCTGGGCAGAGCCTGTCTAGAACTTCAAGGCCGTCGGAGCAGCCTGGGTACGCGCACCTGCCACCGCACTTGCAGCCTCTGCCAGACACGTCCGACGAGGAGGAGGAGGAGAGACGCTCACGGACCGTGCCGCTGGGTACCGGGTCCACCAAGGAGTGGGCGGCTACAGAGCTCTGTGGAAGCCGCGGCGGCGGTTATGCCCAGTCGTACACCGAACTGCTCCGGCAGGGGCTTAGTGGCGATGAGGGCGAGGCGGCATCAATCTGTCATTCGTGCTGTGTAGCGGGAGGTCGTCGGCTGCGTCGTGAACGGTGATCATCAACAACCACGCCGAAGACGACGGTGGGCAGGTGACGGCTGTTGCGCGGTCGTCGAAGTCTCCAGCGCCGATCCGGGAGGCGTCGGGGAACAACAGGGATCCTCCGAGGCAGCAATACCGGACATCGTCTGTGTCAAGGGGTGCATCAGCTCGCCCCTGTGAATGCAGTCTCTGTCTCCCCTGTCCGCCAATTCCACTGCAGGCCGCCGTCGAGCCGAATGCCGGGAGACGGATTGTGGCATCGACGATGTTGGTGATGCACGGGACGGGAGGGAGGTGTGGGCAGAACAGCAACGGACGCTTCATCCACGGAGGGAGGAATCCATAAGTCGGGGGGTGCAGTAACGGCGGCGACGCGCCTGCGGTGAGCGCGGACGATCAGGACTGCAACGAGGACGACTTCGAAGGTGGGGAGGACGACGCCGGCCGCGTATCGCTATTGAAGCAGCCAAAAAAAAAAATAAAAAAAATGCCGCTCTCCGTGAACTCCATGAGCTCCCGTGTCGTGAACTCCGTGAACTCCGTGAACTCCGTGACGGGTCTCCGTTCACAAACCCCGTGAACGGTGAACGGGGGTACGGCACTGGCTCCGCCCAATGAGATAATTGCACAACAGCAAGCAAAGTACTGAAAATCTTCTATCCAGTGGGCCTATGGCCGACCCCACTCTCTTT